TCTATTTGTCTATGCATCTGTTTTTATGCCAGTACCATGGTGTTTTGGTTAATATCGCTTTGTAACATATTTTGAAGTCAGGTAACACAATGCTTCCAGCTTTCTTCTTTTTGCTCAAGACTGCTTTGGCTATTCAGTCTTTTGTAGTACCATATGAACTTTGGGATTTTTTTTTTCTATTTTTGTGAAGAACATCATTTATATTTTGATAGACATTGCATTGAACCTGTAGATCACTTTTGGTATTATGGTCATTTTAACAATATTCTTCCAATCCACGAAAGTGAAATGTCTTTCCATTTTTATGTGTCCTCTTCAATATCTTTCATCATTGTTTTATAGTTCTTATTGTAGAAATATTTTACATCTTGGTTAAATTTACTTTAAAGTATTTTATTTTCGTAGCTATTGTAATTGGGATGGCCTTCTAGACTTCTTTTTCAGCTAGTACATTCCTGATGTATGGAAATGCTACTGGTTTTTGAATATTGATTTTCTATTCTCCTACTTGATTGAATTCATTTATCAAATTCTAAGAGTTTGATCCTGCCATAGGGAAAGTGGGGCCCGCCCCAGCAGCCACAGCCTTGGCCAGCTTCCTTCTCACATCCCAGTCCCACTGTCACAGCTGACCTGACTAACCCTTCAGACCCAGGCAGTTCATGCCTAGCCTACAACTCAGCACCAGGCCATACGAGCCCCCACCCAACTCAAGACGAAGACTCCGTGGCAATTCACATCCTGCTTAAGTCCCAGGAGTGGTGCCTGTTTCCCAGTGCCAGTGGCTGCAGGCCACATCATGATTGCTTCTCAGTTCCAGCTGCAGGAGCCCACCCCTGCTTTGTTCTAGTTCCACAAGCAAATAGCCCAAGTTTCCTGAATGCCTAGGAATGGCACTGATGGATCCCAAAACAACACACACTCTGCCAAAAGCTAGGATTTAAAAAATGGCATCTTGCTGTAGCCACTTAGGTTGCAGAATGGGTGTGAGACCCAGGGAAAATTCCCTCCCTGGAGCAGTTCCTGCTCACAGCTTCCCAACTGCTTCCTAAGATGGATTCAGAACTTGAGAGGGTCAAGATGCCCTCCTATCACGTGGATCTCCAGTGGGAATGTGGGTCACAGAAAGGCTCTCACTCATCCCTCCTGATATTGAGGAGTCATTCCTGGTTCTTAGCCAGTCTCAGCCAAGTAGGCTAACTGTTTTCCTTCTGCTTCCTAGTTTTTCCCTTTCCATTTAGGATGCCTTTTTTTGTTGCTGTTCTTTCTTCTCTTATTGCTCTGGGTAGGACTTCCAGTATTATGATGACTAGATAGAAGTGGTGAGGGTGGATAGTGAGGGTGGATATCATCTTCTTCCTGATTTTAAAGGGAGAGCTTTCTGTTTTTCATCACTGGGTATGTCATAGCTGTGGGCTTGTCATATATAGCCTTTATTTTGTTGAGTTTTTTTTAATCCAAATTTGTCAATAATTTTTATCATGAAAGGGTGTTGAATTTTTTCAAATATTTTTCTGCATCTATTGAGATGATCACATGATTTGTATTCCCTATCCCTTATCATGTTGTTATCACAATAACTGATTTTTGCATGTTGAACTATCTTTGCATTCCAGGGATAAATCTCAACTGATCATGGTGTATATGCATTTAATGTGATCCTGGATGCATTTGCTAGTATCTCACTGAGGATATTTGAATTTATATTTATCAGGAATATTTGCCTATAATTTTTTTTGTAGTGTTCTTGTCTGGCTTTGATATCAGGACAATGTTTCACTTCATAGTTTGAAAGTGTTCCCTCCTCTTCAATTTTTTAGAAGACTTTGAGAAGGACTGCCATTAATTCTTTAAATTTTGGTAGAATTTACCAGTGAAACTATCTGGGCTTGGACTTTTCTTTATTGGGTTTTGATAACTGATTCAATATCTATACTATGTTTTCTCCTTTCCATTTAGGATGCCTAAATGTATAGGTCTGTTCAAACTTTTTACTTCTTAATGACTTAGTCTTGGTAGATTGTATGTTTCTTCACATTTATCAAATTTTCCTAGGTTATACAGTTTGTTGGTGTGTAATTGTTCACAGTAGTCTCTTATGATCCTTTTTCATTTTTGTGGCATCAGTTATAATATCTCTTCTTTAATTTACAATTTTATTTGAGTCTTCTCTCTTACTGGTCTGGCTAAAGACTTGTCAAAATCTTATTTAATGTTTCACAAAGCAACTCTTAGTTTTGTAGATTTTTAAATATTGTTCTCTATTTTCTACTTCATTTATTTCTGCTCTGATCTCTGTTATTTCCTTCATTCTAATAATTTTGGCCTTAATATGTTCTTGTATTTTTGGCTTCTTGAGGAGCAATGTTAAGATTGTTAATTTAAGATCTTTTTTAATGTAAGCATTTATGGCTAGGAACTTCCCTCTTATTACTGCTTCTGTTATATCCCATAAGTTTTGGTACATTGTATTTTCATTTTCTTTGTCTGAAGGTATTTTCAGGTTTGTTTTGTTTTGTTTTGTTGAGACAGGGTCTTGCTCTGTCACCCAGACTGCTGGAGTGCAGTGGCGTGCTCCTAGATCACTTCAGCCTTGAACTCCTGGGCTCAAGGAATCCTTCCACTTCAGCCTCCTGAGTAGCTGAGACTACAGGTCCCTGCCACCATGCCTGGCTACTTTTTAAACATTTTTTGGAGAGATGAGGTCTTACTATATTGTCTAGGCTGATCTTGAAATCTTGGGCTAAAGCAAGGTAACCACAAAGAAAAAAAACGTCCATAGAAATTACACAAAAGAGAAAGAAAAAGGAATAAAAGCATATCATAACAAAAAATTAACGTAACAGAAAGGAATTCAGAAAGAGAGGAAAAAACAAATAACTGAAAAATTCAAAAATGTGTTGAAATTAATTTTCAACACATTTTCTCCCACGTCAGCCTCCCAAAGTGCTGGGATTACAAGTGTGAGCCACCATGCCCAGCCTGGAGGTATTTTCTAATTTCCTTTTTGATTTCTTCTTTGACTCAATAATTGTTCAAGGATGTGTTGGTTAATTTCAACACATTTTTGAATTTTTCAGTTATTTGTTTTTTCCTCTCTTTCTGAATTCCTTTGTGTTACGTTAATTTTTTGATAGCATATGCTTTTATTCCTTTTTCTTTCTCTTTTGTGTAATTTCTATAGGCATTTTTCTCTTTGTGGTTACCTTGCTGCTTACAAAAACTATAACTCTCCACCATCACCTCCACCATCACCACCACACCTCCACCATCACCTTCTCACATCCACAATCACCCCCACCTCTACCATTACCTATACACCTCCATTAGCACTGCCCCACCTCCACCATCACATCCTCATCTCCACCATCACCTCCCCACCTCCACCATCACTTCCTCACCTCCACCATCACATCCTCACCACCACCGTCATATCCTCACCTCCACCATCACTTCCTCACCTCCACCATCACCTCACCACCTCCACTATCACCTCCCACCTCCACTATCACCTCCCACCTCCACTATCACCTCCCTACCTCCACTATCACTTCCCACCTTCACTATCACCTCCCTACCTCCACTATCACCTCCCACCTCCACTATCACCTCTGCACCTCCACTATCACCTCCCACCTCCACTATCACCTCCCTACCTCCACTATCACCTCCCTACCTCCACCATCAACTCAACACCTCCACCATCCCCTCCTCACCTCCACCATCACCTCACCACCTCCACCATCACCTCACCACCTCCACTATCACCTCCCACCTCCACCATCACCTCACCACCTCCACCATCACCTCCCACCTCCACCATCACCTCCCACCTCCACTATCACCTCCCACCTCCATGATCACCTCCCACCTCCACGATCACCTCTCCACCTCCACCATCACCTCTCCACCTCCACCATCACCTCACCACCTCCACCATCACCTCACCACCTCCACTATCACCTCCCACCTCCACTATCACCTCCCCACCTCCACCATCACCTCTCCACCTCCACCATCACCTCTGCACCTCCACCATCACCTCTCCACCTCCACCATCACCTCCCACCTTCACTATCACCTCCTACCTCCACTATCGCCTCCCTACCTCCACTATCACCTCACCACCTCCACTATCACCTCCCTACCTGCACCATCCCCTCCCACCTCCACTATCACCTCCCTACCTCCACTATCACCTCTCCACCTCCACCATCACCTCCCACTTTCACTATCACCTCCCACCTCCACTATCACCTCCCTACCTCCACTATCACCTCACCACCTCCACCATCACCTCCCTACCTGCACCATCCCCTCCCACCTCCACTATCACCTCCCTACCTCCACTATCACCTCCCACCTCCACTATCACCTCCCACCTTCACTATCACCTCCCACCTCCACTATCACCTCCCACCTCCACTATCGCCTCCCACCTCCACTATCACCTCCCTACCTCCACTATCACCTCACCACCTCCACTATTACCTCCCACCTCCACCATCACCTCCCTACCTCCACCATCCCCTCCTCACCTCCACCATCAACTCAACACCTCCACCATCACCTCCTCATCTCCACCATCCCCTCCTCACCTCCACCATCAACTCAACACCTCCACCATCACCTCCTCACCTCCACCATCACCTCCTCGTCTCCACCATCACCTCCTCACCACCACCATCACATTCTCACCTCCACCATCACCTCCCCACCCCCACCATCATCTACCACCTCTACCATCACCTCCTCACCTCCACCATCAACTCTTGACCTCAGCCGTCACCTCCTCACCTCCACTGTCACCTCCTCACCTCCACCTATCATCTCCTCACTTCCATCATCACTTCACCTCCACCATTAACTCCACACCGCCATTCTTTCTCCACCTCCCTCTATCCCTTCCCCATCTCTGTCATTGCCTCCCCGCCTTCACCATCACCTCCATACCTCAGCTTCCCAGGCTCCCCACTGTGCTGGGTCAGCACCAGCCCTACCTCACATTGTCATGCCTCTGGATGTAAATCTTGTGGAAAATCCTCTCAGGGGGCTTCAGGAAGTCCTCCTTCATCTCCATGGCAACGTTCCGGGGCAGAAGGCTCATGAGGAGCCGCTCCTAGATAGGAGAGAAGGGCCCATGTCAGACAGCAGGGCCCCCTCCCTCCACTCCTCCTCACCTCACCCTCCCCCCGGTGAGGATGCCTGGCCCCTGAGCCTGGGTGGGCCCATGTCCAGGCCTGCACTGCCACTGAGCAAGCAACTCTCTCCAGGAGCATTGGCCAGGGCTGGCACGGCCTCCCCAATACCCAGGCCTCTCTGCAGCATCCCTCATGCTACTCCCTGGGTGCACTGCTGAGTCTCAGCCTGTGCTTCAGTGTACAGCAGGGTCACAACTGCAAAAACACTGCTGTCTCCACCAGAGCTCCCACCTTCCCTCTCTCCCTCCCCCCACTACTCCAACAATACCCCAGAGTCTTCCACACTGGCTTAAAAAAATGAGCTGTCCTCCTAGGGTACCCAGAAAGTCCCCTTGTCCTTACAAAGATAAGTGACCTAGGGGACCATATGGCATTCTTTCTTGGTCTTTGTCTTCTTCTTTCTCCCTTAGCTGTGTAGGTCAAGCATTTTCTTTTTTGCCCCAAGAGAAAAGAATAAATGTTTGGATTTTTCAAAACAAACTATGCCATCCTGGGGAATCCTCTCCCCTTCCTAGGCCTCAGTTTCCTTGTCTGGACTGAGGAGTAAGTAGGACTTAGATTCCCATCTTCCAGGTGGATGTTCCCTGACCCCAACCCAAGCTGGCCCTTGACCTGCTAGCACACCCCTATGTCTGAGAGACCATGTTCCAGAAATGTGGTGTGAGGGTCCCCGACTCACCTCAGTCCTTCCCATGCCCCTCCCACTCTGCTTTGAAAAGAACAACGAAAGAGCAGAGTTTAAATCCTACATAGAATCAGGTAAACATCCCACTGACAAGCAAGGAAAAGGGCTGGAGGAGGGAAGAAGCTCCATGCCTCCCACCATGTCCTCTGGCTCAGAGTCCCTCTGCAGTGGCCTGCCTTGCTCAGCACCAACCATTCTCCCTCCCTCCAAGGAGCCTCAGCAGGAGCCATGCAAGTGCCTAACACTGAGATGCTTCCACTTCCTTTCCATCCCCAGCTGCACAGGCCTGCCGGGCAGAGCCCTGGGAATCCCTCCTGTAGTGCATAGGCTACATCCCTGACCCAGGAGCGGTCGCCCTCCTGTGAGACTTTCTCAGAAGGAGCACAGGTGCCCAGACACCATCACACTCAGGGGCCATAGGAGCAGCCACAATGAAAATAGCCACCCACATCCCGAAAGCCCAGCTGACCTCTGGGAAGTGGCCATGAGGGCCTCACCCCTCTACTCCACATGGCAGATAGCGTTCCATGTGTACAGTCCATTTTACAATGGGAAAACAAATTTGGCACACTTGAAGTTTTCCCTGGTAAGTTACTTCCACATAAACTTCCGAGGATAAACACCAAGTCCAGCCCTGCCTGATGCCAAGTGAAGCCAAGTCTCTGCCTCCAGGTCAAGCCTGCCTGGGTCCTGGCTCGGGGTCTGTGGCCTGGAGGTGTGTCCTAAGCAAGGCCAAAGTCTACACTGAGAACCACCCCACAAAGGGCCCCACCACAGTTCCCACCTGAGCCCCCACTATAGCCCCCAAGTGGCTCCCATGAAGTTCTGCTGCAGCCCCCATGTGACTTCCACCTTGGATCTAAGGAATTGAAAAATGCAGGATACTGACCTCCAGGGACCACACAAAGGTGACAGGTGATGGGGGAGCATCCAGAACCACAAGTGCTGATCCCAGAGGGAAGGAAAGAAAGATTGCTGGGAAGCCCCTGGCACACACCCTGACTCCCTGCACACGGCCCCCAGCATGGGGGACTGGAGCTCACATGGACAACTGAGCTGTGGCATGGGGCACTGCAAGAACCGGCTGTGGCAGAGTTACCCAGCCATCGGCTGGCTGTCCTCAGTAGCCCTGCTCCACTGCTGGTCTCACAAGAGAGCCCCTTATTTTCATTGGGGTGCTTGACTACCTAGAATAAAGACTGTATTTTCCAGCCTCCCATGCAGCTAGATGTGGCCAAGGAGATATAAGTTGAAAGGTCATGCGGAAGCTTTGGAAATGTTCCTTAAAAACAGCTTGTTCTAGCAAAAAACAAATAACCCTCATTAAAAAATGGGGAAAGGACATGAACAGTCACTTCTCAAAAGAAGACATACAAGTCGTCAACAAACATGAAAAAATGCTCATCATCAACAATCATCAGAGAAATGCAAATCAAAACCACCATGAGATACCTTCTTACAGCAGTCAGAATGGCTAATACTAAAAAGCCAAAAAACAACAGATGCTCATGAGGCCATGGAGAAAAGGGAACACTTGGTGGGAATATGCTGAGGGTGGGAACGTAACTTAGTTCAGCCATTGTGGAAAGTAATTTGGAGATTCTCAAAGAACTCAGAACTGCCTTCAAATCCAGCAATCCCATTACTGGGTACATATTCAAAACAAAATAAATCATTCTACCAAAAAGGCACATACATGTGTATGTACATTACAGCGCTATTTACGATAAAAGACATGGAATCAACACAGGTGCCAACAATGGTGGGCTGGATAAAGAAAATATGTTACATATACACCATGGAATACTATGCAGCCACAAAAAAGAATGAAATTATGTCCTTTACAGCAACATGGATGCAGGTGGAGGCCACTGAAGTAACGCAGGAACAGAAAACCAAATACCGCATGTTCTCACTTATGAGTAGAAGCTAAACATTGGATACATCTGAACATAATAGTGGGGACTCCAAAAAGTGGGAGAGAGGGATGGAGGGAGGCAAGAGTTAAAAACTAACTATTGGGTACTATGCTTAGTACCTGGGTTATGGAATAATTGTAACTCAAACCTGAGTATCACACAGTATATCCATGTAACAAATCTACACGTGTACCCTCAAATCTAAAATGAAGGTTAAAATTTTAAAAACAAAACAGCTTGTTCCTCCTCACTTCTTTTCCTGCTGTTGTTGGGAATATAGTCATAACAGCCAGATCTCCACCTACCATCTTGGTTTGGGAGGACGAAGGCAACACACTAGGGACCCAGGTGGCGAGCTGGATGGAGACTGCTGAGGATTTCATGGATCACACCTGCTGCATCTCCATAAAGTGCCTACCCTGGAATGTATATGTAACACAAAAAGGGCTATGTCCCTTCAGTAAGCCACGGTCACACGACATTCCTAAGGACAACTGCATTTCCAGCCAAGGGCTCAGCATTAGCTCCGTCCACTGGATTATCAGCAGCATCTAAGCCAACACACATTAATAACCACAGACTCAAGTACAAAACCTTTCCCACAGGAAGCAAACAGCCATCTTATAAGACTCAGCATTCATTTTCTGATTAAAAACAAACAAACAAAGACAAAGTAGCTCATCCACATTATAGAGATTCTACCTGAAATTCACATCCAATCTCAAAACCCTAAAGCCCCAAGCAACAGTAAACATTAGTGCCAAGAACAGACAATATGTTAACAAGCTCTAGCCAACAAAATAACTTAAAAAGCCAGAAATCAAAAGTATAAAAGCTAATGTGAATATGGGTCATACAAAGTACCCCAGAGTCTTATGAAGGCTATATAAAAATCTTAACGCATTTATCTTGACTATCAAAAAGTGACTTAAATGTACTCTTAACAAAAACTAGATATTTCAGTGACAACTGTGAAGACTCTACTTCTGGGAAGATAGAGCAGTATTTTTCCCTATTCCTCCTGCTGAGCACAACTGAAAGTCCTGGATGTTACATATCGAACAAGCAAAGGGAAGAAGGCAGAAATCTTGAGACCAAGAAAAGACATCAAGGTGAGTTCCTGAGGTTTCTTTAGTCTCACATATACCAGACTGAGTGCTGGAGAAGTGGGCAAGTCAGCCACACAGTGGGCACAGACCAAAAGGAAACACAACAAAAGCAGCTCTCTTCCGCCAAAGGCCCAGGACTGGGCAGCTTCACAAGAAGAAAACTTTCAGACAATAACTTCCCTGCCCCAGGCCAGAGACACTGAAAAGTCTGTGCTTCAACCCCACCCACACCAGTAAAGGCCAAGTAGAGAGGCCAGACCTCTACCCCCGCCCCAGGCTTTGAAGGGGTCCCCAACCAACCCACCCACTCCCAGAGGGAGCCAAGCCTTTCTTTTCCACCTGCTAGTAACAAGCATCTCCCAACTCTGCAGAGCCAGTGGGGACGAAGGAAATCTCATTCTCTCCCAAGCCAGGTGCTATCAGTGAGGACCATAGCGGGCTAGAACTCTTATTCCTGCTCAGCAGTAAGAAGGACCCCTATTCACGTGGTGTCAACAGAGGCCCAGTGTGAAGCCTAAACTTCTAACCCCATCTGGCAGTAAAGTGACAACAGCCCCCCTTTCCCAGCCACAGTGATGTGACAGAAAATCATCAAATACAAAAGGTCCAAGTAAGATGCAGAGCCTCACACAAAACATTCCAAATGTCTAGGTTACAGCGAACCATCATTCAACATGCCAAGAACTAGAACAAGCTCATCAGGTGAACAAAGACAACCAACACACACCAATACCAAGAAGACAGAGATGCAAGAATTACTAACAAAGACTGTAAAGCAACCATCATAAGAATGACTAAATAAAGAACTATAAATGCACTTTAGAAATAAATACAAATGTAATAATCTTTACAACATAGCAATTCAGTAATATGTTACAAGAAACACACCCCAACCACATGGGGTTTAATCCAGGGATGTAATGCTATTCAAAATTGAAACATCAATCAAGCTATATACCACATCAACAGAATAAAAAATAAAAATCACATAGTAATTGATATCAAAAAAGAATTTGACAAAATTCAATATCCATTTATGATGAAAACTTTCAGAAAAATGAAAATAGAAAAAAACTTCCACCTCTTCATAAAGAATATTCAGAAAAGGCCTACACCTAACATTATATTTAACGGCCAAACATTGAATGCTTTCACTGGGAACAAGGCAAAGATGTTGGCTCCCATTACTCATATTCTACATCTCA